CTTGGAAGACCAAGGCGTAGGTGGGTGGATAATATTAAAATGGATCTTAGAGAGATAGGATGGGATGGTATGGATTGGATTGATCTGGTTCAGGATAGGGACCAGTGGGGGGCTCTTGTGAACACGGTAATGAACCTTCGGGTTCCATAAAATGCTGGGAAATTCTTGAGTATCTGCAGAATTGGCGGTTCCTCCTGAAGGGCTCAGCTTCATGAGTAAGTAAGTATAAGTAAACCGGGGCCCCCACAAAACAACTACCGTCCACAGATTGTACCGATAGACACGCTTCTCTGACCTCACAAGAAGTTCCTTTGTACTTTCAGTTATTATAGTAAATAAGAAAAATTTTCCTAACCTAAATTTGTTGTTACTCGTAGGGGCCTCAACATTTTGATTTCCCTGGGGCCCCCTCAACTGTAAATCCGGCCTTGGTTTAAATGCATATAAATAAATTATGTACTTACTTAATATACGATTAATCGTGCTACCTAAATATTTTATTATTGATTAAAATAAGTCCATCTATACTAATTTTTTTAAATGCTAGTGGAGTGGGACTAAGTCCCTTGTACTGCGGCCACTTCTGGCCTATTGTACCAGCCCCAGATGATAGGTGATGGTGATTGTGGAGCAATTGGTGGAATGAAGATTGGCAGGAGAAACAGAAGTACTCGGAGAAAACCTGCCTCAGCGGCACTTTGTCCACCACAAATTCCACTTGACCAGACCCGGGATCGAACCCGGGCCGCCGCAGTGGGAAGCCAGCGACTAACCGCTATATACGAAAACAAATGTTTCAGCAAATGATCGCATTTGAGAAGAACAAAGTAGAAGAGAGCCCCGATCGAGAGTAGACAGCATTGAAATCAAGTCTACTTCATTCTTTCAATGTAATTCTCTCTTACAATACAACATTGAAGCATTAAACAATGCCCTCTGACGAACGCGCCACTGTAAGGTTATACGGTCTTCTTGCACCGTCACGTATTCAAACCGGATCTGGGGCTCAATCAGTCTTCTGACTCATTGGTACCGTAGGCCTTTTATCTAGGGATAAGGTAGACAGAGCGTGAAGCTGGCTTCTCATTTGAAATTTGGAGTTTTTACGGCACTAAACGTGATTACTGCATAGGATTTGGTGTTCTCACAGCTGTCATTATGAAGAGGTCTATTTCCTCGTATATAACGAAGTGTAGTCCGTCGAAAGTCAACCGACGTTTCGGAGGTACGTACCACCTCCATGTCCAAGGTCGAAGCAGAGTCAGGTGAACTACTATTTCATTGAAAGCTCTGCTCGCTACCTGCTTCATGCTGGTTTTTTGCTTGGATTATTCTTCGACCCTGAAGATGGAGGTGATACGTACCTTCGAAACATCAGTTGACTAGCAAAGTACAACACTGTATTATATAAAAGAGACCTGTACTCTTCATAACAACTGTTGTGAGAACTTCAAACCCAATGATACCTGTACTGTTGGGAAACTACTCTCTGCGAAGTGTCATCCGAGGTACACTGACCACACAGTGCAACACAGCCGGGCCTGCAGTCCACCCACTACCTTCAGGGTTTTATTAATATCATCGTGTTCGTGATATTAGAAATTCTGTTAAGCACAAAATAAGGGTATTAGACAAAGGAACATTGCTTTTGGCGCGACAAAGGACAGGAAATTACGCTGCAACCAGACACGTAAGGAATACAAAGTACCTCACGTTCCCTCCCGCCAGAGATTGGCCACAGAAGACAGCACAGAAATCCGTGGGAGTGTGTGACACACTTCACAGTCGTCTTTCGATGTCTCGCGTTAAAACATTTATCTACGCAATTTTCATATCGTTAGTCTTTTAAAATCGTTCCTCTTCTCCCGCAAGGAAGGTATTTCACATTTCATGGCCAAAAAGCTCTTCGAAACGCAAGAAATAATCGTTCGCGCTTTGCTAAGGCGAGTTGACTTTATTCAGTAAATGTAATGGCTCTACCTTGCAAATGGAAACAGTTATGTTCTTCCAAATACCGCTGGTACTTGTCTACCAAAGTACCTACCTACCTACCACTCGGCGCTACAGCCCTGGGTGAGCCTTGGCCTCCTCTACAACCAGTCTCCACAACCAATGCATGATCTACCTAAGTACAAACAAAACAAACAAAAACACCGTGACCTGTAGTCCGCAAGCGTACTATACCGACCGAGCGACCGCCGCTTGTCGGCGAAGTTAATGCCAACTTTAGCGGATAGAGGATGTCGCGAGGTCAGCGCAACGGATCTCCACGGCCGTTAATTCCGGTTTTCTAGACCGGAGCCGCTATTTCCTTGAAATAGCTCCTCAATTATTCTCAGGAGGCTGAGTGAACCCCGTTCCAGAACCATTACTTCTCAGAATATCTGGTAGCCCCGGGAATCGAACCCGGAACCTCTGGCTCTGTAGCCAGGAACTGTGACCACTAGACCACAGAGGCGGTCTCTACCAATGTACGCGGTATGAAATTCCAGACGACCGCAATCTTTAAATGATTTTAAGATTGAATCATTGTAACTCAGGTAAGTACCCTACATAAACGTGTCATTTACGGTCACACAATACTTAACGCAAATGTTGAAAAAACCCTAAACTTTTATAATATCTCTAGGGACTAATTGTGGCAGCAGAACCTGAAGGTTCAACATCGCCACTGCATTGGACGCTCAGTCAGTCCAGCTATCTATACACGCATCCCATCTCCTTCTCGGTCTAGGAAGTGGCCCATTTTGCAAGATGCTTCCTAACAAAAATTCTGGACATATTACTTGCTTTCCGGGCTCTTTCAAAACAGCAGCCTATGATTTCACTACCCTAAGGAACTAGGCAATCTGACTTCTGCCATTTTGTGCCGTCTCTGTGCAACGTCGTTCAATACTCCTTCTTCGTATTCCCTTATTGGACGTTACATGTTTCGGCCTAAAGCTTGGGTTTCCTCGGGTAGCGGTACCGTAATCAAGCGGCCGTAATATGACGGTGAATGACGTCACTAAAACGTTGCCATGGAAACCATGTTCCTTTGTTTCCATGGAAACGTTTTAGTGACGTCATTCACCGTCATATTACGGCCGCTTGTTTACGGTACCGCTACCTGAAGAAACCCAAGCTTTATTGGCCATCTTCAGGTGTACAGGTTGTTATGGTTAAGGCAACTACAACAGGACGAAAGAAAGCCGTAATACACTGCGCAGCAAAATCCTTAACCATAACAACCTGTACACCTGAAGATGGCCAGTTAACCCGAAGCGTGTAACGTCCAATAAGGGAATACGAAGAAAGAATAGTGAAGGACGTTGCATATAGACGGCACAAAAGCTACAAAATCAGATGTGTACAGGGCAACAGGATGCTAAAATGTAACATTAGGAACTAGGTAATGTAAGGCAACGTTATCTCTGTGCTTAGTTAAGCACCACCTCATTCTTACGCATGGGGGGATTGGAGGTATAAGTCCACATATTCTTAATGTTGGAATGAGATACAGGTCAGCTTTGCGTCCCAGTCGCTTTATCCGAGGGAAAGAAGCCCCGGTACTAATTGAATGCGAGGCTGGACGGGCCCCAAAGCCGGTGTGGACGTGATAGTAAAGAGAGAGATTTGTGGCTCTACCAAGGATAGAACCCTGGTCGTCTAACCCATAGCCTATACACTATACAATTGCTTACGCCGGCTTCTAGTGCTACTAGGTTACTTTCAGAGGTTACGAAGTTCGTCATTAAGTAAAATCACAATTTATAACTGAAGTATTTAGCCTACTGAGGTAACCTGTATATAAATCTAGGTAAAAATGCCTCTGAAAGTGAGAACCAATTTATGAATACAAATTTGAAACCACTATTAATTTCTGAAAGTTTTATTTTCAATAACTTTTTTCTTTTTACCGAGAGGATCATTATTCAAACTAGAGGATTAAATTTTCCATTTTATAATCAGTCATTTTGTTGTTTTATTGATCAGCTTGACACTGGTTTCATGGGAAGACATAAAAAGGAGCAGGTTATTTTAGCAGTTTCCATACTTCTTGCGGATAATTAGATCTCTGGGGGACAGGACCATCAGCTCCTAACACGGGGCGTTGAAAATTATACCACTAACTCCTCTGACAACAGAATATACAAAGGAACACGGTAATTCCTTACTCAACAGCATGTTATATTAAAAACACAATTTGTTCTAAATCAGGCATGTCAAACTCAACTTGTACAGAGGGCCACCTCAGCCCTATAAATAATATTCAAGGGGCGCACTTCAAAATAGAAATATACATTAGATTTTGATACAAGGAAATTTAATTCTATTTATTATTTAGGAATAATTTCAATATATTACCTAAAGTCACATATCTTACAGTTTTAAAAAGCAAGAGAATGCCATTTTTGACAAGTATCAAACAACTTTTCGATATGTAAAACGAGAGATTACACAAGAAATTATGTTAGAAATAGCAAAACATTGAATTTCCTGCAGCCTGCTAATTTATGTCTGCGTGAGACTTCTTGTCGTCTGGTCTGTTGGAAAATTGTCTTTACAAAAAAATATTTCTACTAAAATTTTAATATTGATTTTAATATCAATTAGTTGAGGGTCCGCACTTTGTGGCTATGGGGGCCGCATGTTTGACACAGCTGTTCTAAATGCTGAAAACGTGTAAGTTTGAGATATGTTCATATATTTATGATTTATTTAACGATTTAAATTGTAAATCAGATTTAATGGGGATACAGGAGGTCAGATGGGACAGGAGTGGCGTGGAACCAGCAGGCAACTACATACATTTCTATGGGAGTAAGAGTCATGAATTAGGGTCAGGTTATTCAGGTTATTTGTACATACGAGGTCTGACAATAAAGTTCACGAACTCACCACCGTGTGCGTGTTCTGGCAGCAGTGCACAGACACCTCAGTATGGTTTGATGACGTTGGCATATCAGCGTTTTACAGCTGTGTAAATAGCTTTGTATTAGTTCTGCCTACGTATATAGAGGCAGTAATGGTATGCGCAGATGACGACCACGCATATTTACACTTCTATGTCAGTTTCTAACCTCTGTATTTCTTAGTGGCGATTATTATTATTTCAATGTGTTTTGGTGTGCCATAGCGATCATGTTGGGACTTGAATTAGAGCAACGAACGAACATTAAATTTCTTGTTAAACTTGGCAAGAGTAAAAGCGAAATCAGAGAGATGTTAGTGAAAGTTTACGGGGATAATGCTATGAAGAAAACAGCAGTTCACAAGTGGGCGAAACGTTTTTCTGCGGGCAGAGAAAGTGTCACGGACGAAGAGAGATCAGGACGGCCAGCAACGAGCAGAACTGGAAAAAACATTGCAAAAGTTCGTCAAATTGTGCGTGAAAATTGTCGGCTGACTGTCAGGGGCATAGCACAGCAAGCGAAAATCGACAGAGAAACAGTTAGGAAAATCTTAACTGAAGATCTTGACATGAGGAAGGTGTGTGCGAAAATGGTTTATCTTATGTACAGTAAAATGGTTACAGGTTGTTAGCGACAGTGATGGCCACAGTTACCTCGAACCAAGCCATGACTACCTCCTTCCACGTGGTTCCCAGTTCACTGCTTCTTGGCAGAGATTCAAATAGGGAACCTGTTGGATACAAGTAAGAATTATTGCTAGTGTCACACCATCGAGGAATATGGGGGGGGGGCAGAGGTAAACCATCACTCGCTCTGTACTTCTGAGTGGACAGCATTCCTCCCAGTGTCAACTGTATTAGAGGCTGGGAAAAATCCTTCCCTCGATGGGAATCGAATCTTGGTCACCTAATTGTCCATTTTTGGACCATGCCCTGTTGGCTAGTAGATCATTGTCCGTTCTTAGTTCAAAGCTCATAAGAAGAACGTATTATGGCGTGTAAAGCCGTTACAAGGCAACGACCACGAGATAAGCAAATATGCCAAAACCGTTACTGGGTAACGCCCGCAAACCAACACGTCTCCGCAGCAACACGCAACAGTAGAAAAAAGGCTGGAAACGGTGTTTTCTACGGTGATCCGTGCCAAGGAGTTGTAAGCGGGATGAAGTGAAGACAGAGTTCAGTTGTGATGGTAAGGACGTAAGCAGATGAATGGCCACTGTTAGAAGCTGTTACCAGGAGACAGCTAGTGGAGACTGTAACAGGCTGAAAATGCTAGTATGTGTGCTCTAGCGAACTGCAAAAAAAAAAAAAAACAAAAAAAACAAAACTAACACAGTAACAGGCCGTGAAGGCCCATAGGGTTGTGATACGAGTGTGGAAATCAGCGATGGCGCTGTAAATAAGTGAAATTACGAGTTGTATAGCAAAGTGGTTAATAAATCCAATATCAAATCCAAAAGGCCGTCGATAGTCACTCCCTCACATGACAATATAATGGGGAGGGCATAGCCTAGTTATGTTTTATTACAAATACAAGTCACCATATTTCAGTAAAATTTAATATGGTATTGGCGATCAGTACTGAGGGTGTTAGCCGATTTTCATTTTGGCCCCCCGACGTAGCTCAGTCGGTAAAGTTATGGTCTCGATAACCGAAGAATCGCGGTTAGACTCCCACAGCGCTGGGGTACTGATGGCCGACCTCATTAGATACGACCAAATGGGCCGAGAGATGGTCTAGACATAGCAGAGAATGCAGCAATCCCTGCCCCTTGCCGGGAATCAAACCCCAATTATGTAGAGTTTGAGGTTCTTACAGTGGTGGTTAGGAAAAATTCTATCTTTTGGGATATAACGCCATGTAGTCAAAGCAAATAAAGCGAAAGCAGAGCTGTTCCTTCTCAACTGCTTTCACGTCAGTTTCTTTGTCAACTTATTCTTCAACCCTGAAGAAGGAGGCGAGATGTTCCTCCCAAACGTTGGTTGACTACAAATGCACTACACATCGTTATAGCCTTGAAGCTAGAATTCATCAAACACTGATTAGTTGCATAGCCCATAGTCCAGTCATTACAACAAGAAGTACTGCATGAACACGAACCTGCCCTAATTCATAACATTGTGCCATTTACAGATCAAGGGCCAGCATTCCGTCCGAAAGCGACAGCGGCCTACCTCCACGCCCTCCGCAACCACCGCCCTTCTCACAAAATCCGAAACTTCGTTAGTGAGTCCGAACCAGCAACCCTACGTGGAAGCAACCACTACGACCCAAACTGGTTATGGACCGGGCTCGGACGAAGGCGCTAACACCCCCCCGTTCCCCATTGGTTGCCCACATCGAGCCACGGCACGCCAGATCGTAACAATCACCACAGAGCATCTGAAGCAGGGGTTACAACAATAAAACACCTCATCTCCAGCTTCTATCTTTGTCACATATATATATAAATTATCTTGTTCAATTTCTTCCGTCAATTTCTCTTAACAGTTAACTGTTCTAATTCTTGCTTAAGATTACCAAAAAATAAAGGAAAGTAATCTTAGAATGACATGCATCTGATGTAAACAAATTTGATGTAAATAATTTGATTATTTATATGGGCTTACATGTTTAGGCCCCTAGGGGAGACCTTCACAGGCTCAACAGTAAATGGAGCTTACTTTGAAATTGATAAGGCTCTTAGTACAATTAAGTTATACAGTCGTAACAAAAAAAAAGCTTAATTTGTAGATATTTAAATATTATCAGTAAATATGTGTACAACTTATGATTATACTAAGATCTACAGCAACTGTAAATTGAGTTCCTTTTTCTGTTGAGCCTCTGAAGATGGCACCAAAGGGAAGAAACATGTAAACACATACACATAACTGGAATATTTATAACGAACCTATTCACATGGGATGGCTTATCATTCCATGATTAACACAAGTGTAACAACAAACACGTGTCATGTTAAAATAGGGGAAGTAATTTAGCTTATATATATAATATGTACAATAAAGTGGCTGTAAAATTTATATACATATTAAATAAATTATTGAATACTGTTCACACTCCTGCATTTCTGGCTATTAGACATTCCAGCAGTAAACAAGATGACAGCAGGCCCGGAATACCCCCCCCCAGCTAAAGGGAGATAAAGTTTTTCAAAACTCTGTTACAATTAATAACACTGCAATTCTGGGCAATGTGATTAAAACTGTCGCTCTTAAAACAGTTTAGCGTGTAATGTAAAAGGTAAGATCTCTGTGCTTAATTAAGTACTGCACCATGAAGATGTGTGGGGGAATGGAGGTATAGTTCCACAATTCTTAACCCCGACACTAGATGAAAGTGGGTGGTCAGCTTCATGACCCAGCTGCTTTACTCTCAAGGAAAAGGCCCTTGGCACCCCACTGTATATGAGGCTGGTAGGGCCCAAGAGCCAGTCGGGATGTTATGGAGAAGAGAAAAATCTCTTAACCCTGCTGGGTATTGAACTTAACTTCTTGGCTGTCTTACCTGCAACTTAGTCGCTATACCAACTGAGCCTCCTAGCCCCAAACTAACACCCTTAAAATATAAAAATCAAACATGTTCATTCAGTTGACGTCTACAGAACACTTGGGTTGCACTTCTGTAATGTTCTGTTGTATGTGCACCAGATGAAGCTTCATATCAATCAATCAGTCCACCATATTTCATTTTACTTTACAAAACTGGTCTTACCAATCCTTTGTTTTCAGCTCTACATTAACTTCCTTCTAGAATTGAACAGCCTGAAGAAACTGACAATTTCACTGCGGTAGAGACATGCTACTTAAGGATTAATACTAAACAAAAACAAACTCCTGGGCCTAAAGTCTGCAAGCGAACTATACTGACCCGGTGACTGCCGCTTGTTGGCGAAGTTAGTGTCAACTTTAGCAGATAGAGGATGTCGCATGGTCAGCCCAATGAATCCCCATGGCAGTTAATTTCGGTTTTCTAGACTGGAGCCACTATTTCCTTGAAATAGCTCTTCAATTATCCTCACAAGGCTGAATGGACCCCGTTCCAGACCCACTACTCAGAAAATCTGGCAGCACCGGGAATGTAACCTGGACCTCTGGATCCGTAGCCAGGAACTCTGACCGTTAGACCACAGAGGCAGTCCAAGAATTAATACTACACAATAAAAATGAAGGTCTAATGTAATGTAATTTCTTTAAAACATGAGCAGCAGTAATGGTTGCTGAGTTGAAACATATGGACAAACAGGACCAGCCCTGTGTGTGATCATCTCATGCACATCATGCAAGGAACGCACACTAATCATGAGTAAGCTATGAACCCAAGGTTTCAGAATGGGGACAGGAAGGATTAGCTGTGGTACAGTGGAACCACCCAGCTGATATTCCTCAGTGTAACTTCTCCCCTGATTTAACAGTTACTTCCAAGTCAACCTTGTCAGTTTTACATTTTGTCCACTTAAAGATTTTCCTCAGTTGTGTTCAAGTTCACTGTTCCTCATATGGGGTTCCAATACAAATGTTGGTAAGGTGGGAGTGGGAGTGAAATAAAAAAGACATTCATTAAAAGTAATTCCTCTAGTTGTCATAGAGTATATACAACATAAATTAACTAGAATTTGGAAACAGGAATAAATTATGCCGTGAACTGGTGACAGTCAATGGACTACTAGTTGAGGAAGACTACAGGACTGGAGCAGTTTCCTCATCTCTGACTCTGTATTTGTATTCTCAAGTCTCTATCTATGCACACTTTTGAGACAAAAACATTAATTCTACAAATGTATCGCAAGTACAGTGGAACCCCCATTTAACTTTCCTTCTTGAAAGCTTTTGCCTCATTTAACATTAATTTTCAATGATCTCACTGTTAATTTTCCTCCATTTAAGAATACCCTCATTAAGTGTTCATACCAACTGCTCGCCAAAGAAACGTTAAACGGGGGTTTCCCTGTAGACATTTCCATTGGAATCCTCTACTGCCAGATCTTCCAGCACTTCAATATTCCTGTTACTGCATACACTCAGACTGTTGTCCTGAGAGATAAAAATTCCTGAAAGTGGCTGAATAAATTAACTACTTTGACTATCACTCATGTTAACCACTTCATTATACTGTTCATCACACAGTACCGGAACTAGTTAGTTAGCTAGTTATTGGAGAGGGTGGATTTCCCCATGCACTTAGACCTGTATTGGTCCATTGTGCTTCCCTCTATGATTTCTACCAGTCTCTATATCCTACCGGTACTGGTGCTTACCATCAGTCCCGCCCAGCCAGCGAGACCGGCTCTACTAGCTGAGAGGTATCTATAATGCTTCCCCCATCTACCAGAGGTATTAGAGACTGCTGTTGGGCGGGAAACGTCCGTAATTTAGCTCAGTGACCTCCTTAGGAGATATGAGGTTCTTTTACGTGCCGTAAAGCTATGACACGGGACCCACGGCTTAAAGTCCCTCCCGGAGGACTTGTTCCCTGAATTTTTCCGCCCTTAAAAATTCGACGACCTCCGCATACTACGAGTCATGAGGTGGGAACGTTACGTCTAGACTACGGAGGCCGCTTACCGGAACTAAACATTAAATCTTATATAATACTAATCTTTCTGAAGAAGCAAGAATAATTAAGAGTTAAGTACATTCCTTCTTTGTAAAGTAGTCTCAGCAGTGTTCATTTGAATACAAATAAAACCACAGGAATGAGGTACACAGTAAAATCACAAGAAACAGACTCAGCAGTTTATCACAGTACATTTCTTCTTACAATCAGCACACTACAGTTTCTTAATTGCTAATACAAAATGTACATAATCCTATAAATACTTATATGTCTGATGGTCCACTGAGGGGAATCCTTGATAACACTTAATTTTCATAAGATAGTGCCTAAAAATAGACTACAGGCAAAAAGATAATTGCTTATATGTGAATTAGGCACTTTTCAGAAATACATCTCTCAGATTTGCGTTATACAGACACCAAAGTCATCATTGCTTCAATTTCCGCCTCCACTGTTGTACTGGCCACCACCTTGACTTTTCCATGAACCACCATCTACAAGACAAGAAATCATTAAAACACATTTGTAAATAAAATAATGAAATTCTAACCATATCAGTGGATACAATAAATAGAGTGAGAAATTCCAATTGACACAACAAGGTTTATTTCTGATACGTTGTTACATTTACAGAATGCACTATATCTAGCACAAATGGTATTATTTCACGATAGGAACAATTACACTCACCTCCACATCCACCACTCCCCAGGTCCACTCTTGTGGATTAGGTCTACCGGCTGTTCACTTCACCATCAATGAATTGTAAATGGTATTGTGAGAGGTGTTAAAGAATTTATAATTCTTGGTGGTGTAAGAGAAAGAACAGGTTGATGAGTGAAGCAGTGAAGCAGAGGGATACAAAGAGGGAGATGAAACTTTCGGCACAAGCAAGTCGGCATAAAAGTAATGCTTATTTATTTTTGCCTCATGTCATACATACAACAGCTTCACTGTAACTGTGATCAGTCACTTGACATAACATCATACAACATTTACCACCAAATGTATAACCTAAGAAACTTGAAGACACTGGAGGTATAGCTCCTTAATTCCCGACTTCAGCACTAGATCAATGGGAGTGGTCAGCTTCGTGCCCCAGCTGCTGTAACTCTGAAGGAAACAGCCCCCACTACCCATTGGATAAGAGGCTGGGTAGGCCCCAGAGCTGGTCTGGACGCTGTGGAGAACAGAAGAACCTCCTGCCACTGCTGGGAATCAAACACAGGTCAACCAGTCCACAGCCTGTCACTATACCAACTGAGATATCCCAGTTCAACAAATTAAGAGGATCAAACGCAACTCCAAAGTACACTAACTTAATTATATAATACTTTATGCCAAATTATGCTCTTTGATACATGGACACAGTAAACTGATAATTTATACATTATATACAAGATTAAGTTTACCAAATCTGCTTTAACTTGATTGGGTTCCAAGTCTTGATAAATCAGGGAGTACTGTGTCATCCAGGCCAATAACAAACTGAACGGGTTCCTTGCAGAAAAAGCAGGCTCTTGAAATCATCAGGTGATGGGCAATGCAAGTTCTGCAAATGAATACTAGACATCAGTTGTAAACAAAGGGCATTCAGGTATTCCATAAACCAGCACACATACCAGGGTATATGGATATATATAGAGACATCTTGCATATCACAAGACTACGCGCATAACAATTCAAAAATGGCTATCTGTGCAAGAGCCACAGTTTCATAAAGCACTTCCTAGTGGAACAGAGATGTGATTTAATGCTCACAAATATCTGAAATCTTATAAAAGTTGCATGGGTTTAGAGCAATGGCAAATTCAACATTTCCATTCTGCATCTTTTATCTATTAAAGATGAAAAAAGGTGAAAAGAAGAAATGTTATTTCTAAGCATATCAGAACTGAATTTCCAGCATTAGCCACAGGGACATTAAGTGCTCAAGTGTCAGAAATTTTGCTTAATATTATTATTATTGAGAGAAATGGAAGGGATAAAGCGTTTAATAATACTATTATTATTATTATTAGAGGGGGTGGGTTTCCCCATGCACTTTGAATTGAATTATTAGAGGGGGTGGGTTTCCCCATGCACTTAGACCAGTTATTGGTCCATTGTGCATCCCCCTTTAATTTCTACTGTCGCCATACCCTACTGGCACTGGTGCATGCTATCAGCCCCGTTCAGCCAACGAGGTCGGCCATCGGTACCTGATATTTCCCCCATCTACCAGAGGCATTGGAAACTACTTGAGCGGGAAATTGTTGCCTAATTTTGCTCAGAGGTCTCCTAGAGACATGAGGATCTTTTACATGCTGTAAATCTACGACATGGGACCCATGGCTTAAAGTCCCTCCCGGAGGACTTGTTCCCTGAATTTTTCCGCCCTTAAAAATTCCACGACCTCTGCCGGGTTTGAACCCACGTACCTTGAGTTATGAGGTGGGAACGTTACCCCTAGACTACGGAGGCCACTTTAATAATACTATATTTAAGCATCAATTTTATTACTTAAGAGACTATGAGAATGCAACTGTCAGAGGCTATGTTACCACTCACCGGACTGAAACAGAAGACACGGACAGTGTCATGCAGTCTCAATTTGTGACTTGCAAGATGGACACAGTAGATGCAGAGTATTAAATTCCTGTAACAAACTAAAGAACAGTATGGGATATACCTGCACGAATGATGGTTACACGGTTTGAAGATGGCTGAGATCGGAGAAGCATAGCAAATTGTACAGATTTCATCTTCAGATATAACCCCAGCATCCGACAGCCTTCCTTGGTAAAAGCTGAGTAGCTGAATCATTTTCTTCACATTCTCGATCTCTGCAATGCTCACATCGTCTGAATCTGAAACACAGTCACAGAAGACAAAACAATGCGTACAGAAACATTTCAGGCAAGAAGCTGCATCAGTTTAAGTGACACTGGTACCCCATACAACAAAAGATATACTGGGAGTCAGCAATATGGTTTTCTTTCTTCTTTTTATTTTATTTCATGGGCACACATGATACTGAGTCCACTTGGTATGTCAGCATTTAATTGGCCTAACCGCCTGACCTACAGCACGGCCCCAGGAATAAAGTTGATGCTGGTGCATACTTCACAACAAGGATTACTGCACAGGGTATAACAAAAATCTGTTTTATATAAGACACATATTAGCATAATAAAAGCAGTTGAGTGAGATTTTTAAGTACAGAAGGAGAAAGGGGATGCAGTAATGTAGTTGTTGAGGCACTATGCTACAAGCCAGAAGGACGCATGTTCAAGTCCCAATGAGGTCATTGGATTTTTTCAATTGACCTAATCCTTCCAGCCGCACTATGGCCCTGGGGTCGACTCAGCCTCTAACAGAAATGAGTACCAGGAATTAATTAAATAATTTTCCTGGTGAGTAAAGCGCAGCTGGCACATAAGGCTGACAACCTTACCGCCATCTTTGAGCCAACTGTCCAGAAAATGTGGGACCCTCAATGTTTCACAACCCTATGGGCCTTCATGGCCTGGTACAGGAATAGCTTTACTTTACTTTACAGAAGGAGAATGTCAGGAAGGATATTACACTTGGCATAGTCATTGGCTATGGGCTGAGTGACTGAGGGGAAGGAATTTGAGTCTCAGTAGGATCAAGAATTTTCTTTCCTCCACACCGTCCAGACAAGCTTTTGGGTCCACCCAACCTCCTATCCAATGGATGCCGCAGGCTCTTTCCCTGGGGGTAAAGCGGCTGGGGCGTGAAGCTGACCACTCACCTCCAGCTAGTGCTGAGGTCAAGAAAATGTGGATCTAGACATCCACTCCCCCATACGCCTTCATGGCATAGCGCTTGATCAGTTAAGCACAGGGACAACTTTAATAGCCAGGACAGTGTAGTTGATATAGCAACTGGCTATGCGCTGGACGACCGAGGGGTCACATTTCGAGTCCTGGTAAGGTCAAGAATTTTCTCTTCTCCACGTCATCCAGACCGGCTCTGGGGCCCACCAACACTCCTATCCAATGGGTACCACAAGCTCTTTCCCTGGAAGTAAAGTGGCAGGGACGTGAAGCTCACCACTCACCTCCATCTAGTGGTGAGGTAAGAAAATGTGGATCTATATATCAACTCCCCTATACATCTTAATGGCATAGTGCTCAATTAGTTAAGCACAGGGACAACTTTATCTTTTACAGAAGGAGAATGTGGAAGAGGGTAAAAAACAAAGAAATTAGAGGAGACTTTAAAGCTAAGTACAATGAAAGAATAACTAATAAATAACAGAACAAGCTGATGTGACACATTTTCAAAATGGAGACATTCTAAAAGAAAGCTGGATTTATGGTTCTCACAGTGGCATATTTATCATATTTCAACATAACTGCAGGAATTAAAAACAGACTTCAATTTGTATGAGCAGAACAGTACATACAGTTAGTATTTTTGTGCTACAGTATACAGTCAAATGACAGGATGACAGGTGAAAACAAACAGGGAAGGATTTGGAGGGACTGACGAAAACCACAAAAACTTCAGTCATAATAAGTGGTGTCCCAACTCAGATTTGAAGCATGCACCTCCTAAATATGCACCCAGAGTGTTACCACTATGCCAAACTGCTCGGTGTCAACAGCCTGCATCACTGGCGCCAAAAAGAACATAAATCTCTTTTCGTACAATACTTACAGTTGTAGAAAGAGAAAGGCTTCACTTTTTTAAGTATTAACCCTTTCTGCACATCACCAAGGACAAAACATATTGATTCCAACTGGAAACTCGGCTCAATCAGGACGGCTTTGGTGACCCTGGGCACTTTACTGACATTAACTGAAACAAACAATAAGCAAAACTGCCATGAAAAGACCTACAAATATGTCTGAAAATTACTCTATGTAAAACATAAAGCTATCCCTGTTAACAGGCCATGAAAGTCCATATGGCTGTGAGGCACTGAGGCTCACACATTCTCTAACTCACACAGATCCACTCTGCTTGCGCGTCCTCCCCTTGTGGTTTGCAACGTGGGTTTGAGAGGTTCAGGGTCTGTGTGCAGTGTGGCATGGTGAACTGAAGTGCGGTAAAGATGACAGTATGTAGGCTCCACATATTGCTACTTATCTACCAAACTATGAGGAATAATCTTGATACTCATTGCGGTTAGGAACTCAAATCTCAAATGGTGTGATATGATCTGCTTCAGTGACATGTGCTGTGGTTTGGATGACAAGCTTATCGTTTCCAGCAATCTGACCTAATAAACCCTCTTGAAGTCATGCTAGCCATTTCTGGAGCATACACATTTCTCCTTTAAAGATGAGATGTGAGAGCATTCCTTAATTTAATAGTTTATTTAACAACACTTTCTCAACTACATCTTTAAATGTAAAGATGATTGTGTATTATGAACTTGGAAGAATGTGGAAGTAGTTGCAGCCTAGTTTAAAGGACTATCTCAGTATTTTCCTGGAGGAAATGAGGAAAAGAATGGAAATTTCAGTCATAAAAGCTAGTCCCCAGGTCAAGAATTGAATCTGGAACCCCTGATTACTAAGCATGAGTGCAAACCTCTCAACCACAATGTTTCACACAATGCATGCACCTCTTATCATTTCATGTCACAACTAACCATCAAACTCCTGCATGTCGTCAAGCAGAAGAGCCAACAGGACTCCCACAACAGCAGTAAGGATTGGGAAGTGGTCCACCGATTCCAAGTCAGGGATATCCAGAGTTATGACGTGCTGGAAGCAGCTGGTCTGCGAGCTGACGCGGTTCAGGACCTGACAGAGCACCTGCAAGTTGAAACATCATTCATTTGCACAGTTCACATGAACAAATTTCATAGCTCATCTGGTGGGGCGTCAGAACTTAAAACTATGATATCAAGGAAGGGATTACAGAAAAATTAAATGCCAGACACGAAATGTGTCCAAATGAATTACACAGTATAGAATACTAAAGAGCCTACTGGTGAAATTAATCGTGCAATCTTCATGCAGTACGTACAAGTGGTTCATTAAAACTTGTAATCACACTAACTTCATAGAGCTAAGCCCTTCTTGAGAAGCCACCAGTTGTGTAGCTATTCAAGAACTTCCAAGCATTTCATGGAACCTGAAGGTTCATTACCGTGCTCACAAGAGCCACATCTGGTCACTGTTCTAACCTAGATCAATCCAGTCCACACCACCCAATCTATCTCTCTAACATCTATTTTAATATTACCTGCCCATCTATGTCTTGGTTTTCCTAGTGGTCTTTCCTTCTGGCTTTCCCACGACTATTCTATATGCATCCCTCTTTGCCCCCATCCATGCTATATGCCATGCTCATCTCACCATCCTTGACTTGATAATTCTAATTATACTAGGCAAAGAGTACAAGTATGCAGGTTCCTCCAACATCCTGTCACTTTGTCTCTCTTCGGAACAAATATTCCCCTCCACACCCTGTTCTCAAACACTCAGTCTATGCTCCTCACTTAATGTCAGAGACCAAGTTTCACACCCATACAGAACCACATGCAAAATTAGTTCTGTATATTCTAATTTTTATGTTTCTAGACAGCAGACGATAAAACAAAAGCTTCTGGACCGAATGACCCATCTTCAATATCCTCTTAATTTGCTCCTGAACCAATTTTTGATTTGTTACTGTCATTCCCAAATATTTAAACTGTGCCACATTTTCAAAGCATATTAGTTATCTTTATGTAATAATTTCACCTGCATTCTGGTGATGAGACAGCAACATATACTAAGATTTTATCTGTGTTTACTTGTAGACCAACCTCCTTCCTAGCGTCAGTTACAGTTTCTGTATATTCCTTTATGGTACATATATTATCAGCCAGTAGATTCACATCATCAGCACAGACCAGCAGCTGATGTATCAGGATAAAAGGAAACCTAGCTACAAACCAAGTTTCACCAAAGCACAAATACAGACATCACGAATGACAAAACCATTCTGGTGTCCAGTAGCAGATTTACATCATAACTGGTTACAAATAAGAGGTGTAAAAGGTAAATTTGTCCCCGTGCTTAACTAATTAAGCACTACACCATGAAGGCGTATGGGGGAGTGGATGTATAGATGCACATTTTCTTGACCTCAGCACTAGTTGGAGGTGAGTGTTCAGCTTCACAACCCAGCTGCTTTATCCCCGGGCAAAGAGCCTCTGGTACTGGTTGGATAGGAGGTTCAGTGGACCCCAGAGCCAGTCTAGACGATGTGGAGAAGAGAAAATCCTTGTCCCTACAGGGACTCGAAATCCAAACCCTCAGTTGTCCAGCCTGTAGCCAGTCACTATAACCACTGTGTTACCAACCATATTTGTTATTCTGGTACTGCCTCGTGTGCTCAGTATAACATCTGTTGCTGCAAATTTTTTAAACAGGCCTGTATGTAGTTTTGAAAGCGATACAAATTGTACTAGATTCGTCTTGGTGACAGATTCTTAAATCTGCCTTTACATTATCCCATGGTTCAAAATAACCGACAAGATAATAAAATATAATGTTTTTTTCCCCCCCACACCTGTCTTATCCTGGGCAACTATAGTTCCTTGTAGTCATGGTGGATATATAAGTAATAGCATGTATCTTATGGAAAAGATTTATCAATTTGTGAACTACAGATTCATCATGTAGCTCCAGATGTTAACATAGACAAAACCTATAATCACTAGTGTCAGCTGATATCTCGGTCAGTACCCATGGTTCACCATACCTGGTACAGAACTTTATTACCGTATCACTCTTATCGTTGGATGTGACGATTTCGTGGCAGTGAGTATGAAGACCACTCTCTTCTGGGATGTGATGCAACACAGTCTCACAGAAGTTAAGCAGAAACAAACTTCTATCAGCCTATATGGCATCATATTCCAGATGATCCTCCACTTTTCAATGCACATTTTAGTTTCCGTCCCATGAATCCAATACAGCCCAAATCCAGTCTCTGCTATTACAAACTAATAAATACCTGGCAAAGGCGACCTAGCAGCACTTCTGAGGAACTTCTTGTTACATCTGTGAAGATTTCCGGCGCAATGCTTGCCACCATCTCAAGTACCCGTACCAACGCTAACGTGAGATCAAAGCATGTGGCACAAATTTTTAGTTGTCTTGACTCGATGAATACTCGCTGAGGGCGAATGGAAACGTTCTGAATCTGCAACAGAACCAACACAATGCAAGCTGTCGGTAATGGGCACAGCAAGGAAGATGCGAGATAGGTTATGCAACACTGTAATATGATCTCACCTCTTGCAACATGCCAATGAACTCGGAGAACGCCCAGTTCAGCTGGTTCAGCACAGAGTTGAGGAATGCTGTGGTAACACGTTCATCTGACATCATCACCTCCTTCACATGACATTGGAACAGATATGATGGGCAAGGCTCTGTAATTAATAGTAAAAAGGAGTAAAATTGAATGTAAGAAAAGATTTATATTGTGGCATGTCTGTTGAATGCCAGAACTGTGAAGCCAGCAGACAGCCTTTGCTAGGGAAAGGCTCTGCAAACGTGTTATACGAGGGCTCAGTAGCCATTAAATGATGGCCGCAGCGAACATGCATGCAACAATAGTAGTGCTGCTGGAAGCAGTGTTTTCTGTGCAGTCCATGCTGAGGCTATATAACCAGGACCAGCTGCCATTACAAGAGTCCTGAGACAGCAGTTAGGAGGTTGGTGTGAGATGGCCACCAGCCTGCAAGGATGTGAGCCCAGGAGCAGATGAACATCTGCTATTGCGAGATGTTAGCAAGCAGTGCAGTGAAGACCATAACTGAGAACACTACTCTTTGTGTGATACTGATTTGTAAAGTGTAATCACAAGTTTTTAAGAATTCAATAAATGCAATTACCAATCCATACCCCATCTACAGTCACTCATAGACATGACAATATAATAATTCAGAAGATAACCAATCGGTTATCTTTTTAAAACAACTGAGATGAAATGACAATCAGACAGAAACATGGAGATACTGGGTTTTCGGACTTAATCCATCGTCCTGGTTTTAAGATAACTAAGAAAAACACGACTTTTCGGAAACTGGATCTGTTTCCGTCCTCAGGTGAGGGAAAACACCTATTCTGTTGGGTCCCTTAG